GTACTGAATAATATGGTATCGCGATTTCGTGATCACAGTATCGTGACATACGTTTGCAGTGTGAGAAGTTCACAAATTAAGAAAATGCAGAAGAGCGGGGGTGTGGCAATATTGCTTGAAAGCTCCTGACGGCCAGTCAGCAACTTGCGAATTATGTGATACAGTGCTTCGAACACATAATTCTACAAGTACCTTAGTACAGCATTTAAGAAGAGTACATGATTTAACGCCATCACAAAAACATGTGAAACAACAGCATGATTATAAAGAACAGTGAGTATTGGTATTAATATTTAGTTTTCAATTTAATTACTTAACGTTTTTATGTACACTATGTATATATATATATATATATTATACACACATGTATATGTATATAATATACTATTTTTAATACAGCACAGATACAAATGACCCAATCGAAGGATCTTCTTTCTCTAATACAAGCGTCAGTACTTCTTCCACTGATTCGGCCACTATACCACGAAAACGTGCACGTGGGATTACATCTGTTAGCAAGGAACGCAGCGAGAAGATTACACGGGCACTAGTTAAATTAATCGCATTTAACCGACTGCCTTTTAGTTTTTCTTCTAGTCCTGCTTTCCAAACATTTATGAAAGAAATCGAGCCTGGATACAAGTGCCCATGCAGTCAAACAGTACTACGCCGTTTACGTGCTCTTGAAGATGAAGTAAAAACCAAGATCCAATGTACATTAGATTTGTGCAAATTTATTGCTCTGGATACGGATTGTTGGACTTCTCGATCTCAAGAAGGTTATATGAATGTGAATGCTCACATCGTAAATAACGTATGGGAGCCACAAATATTCACGTTAAGTATGCAAGAACTTAGCGAAAGGCATACGGCGGAAAATTTAGCTGACAGCTTACAAAATGTTGCTGCTGAATGGCAAATTGACACCAAAATTGTATCCATTGTTCATGATAATGCAAGCAACATTGTTCTCGCAGTGAACAGCATGATGAACGTCGGATCCAGCTCTAGTTGTGCAGCACACACGATAAATTTAGCCGTGAGAGATGCGTTGAAGGAAGATAATATTTCCATCGTGCTTGCTAAAGGAAGTAAAATTGTTTCCCATTTTCATCATTCCGTCATTGCTTCACAAGCTCTTGCAAAAAAAACAAGAACAATTAGGCTTACCTCAACGAAAATTAATCCAAAGTGTTCGTACTCGATGGAATACAGATTTACTTATGGCTGAAAAACTTGTAGAGAATCGTAGCGCTATCAGCTGTTCTTGGAGATCGAACCGTGACAACTCCTTTGCATGCTAAAAATTTAGAAATAAATGAAGATGAATGGAGTATGTTTGAAAATTTAATACCAGTTCTCAAACCACTTGAAATTGCAACTACGGTACTATCCGGAGCTCCAGCATCAATGGTACGTCCAGTAATTCAAACTGTGATCGCTAATCATCTTTCTTGTGGAACTGAAGGCGTATCAAAAACGTTAGCAGAGGCGTTATCAATTCGTTTCCAAATGGAGTCACAGGAAAATATATCAGTTCGTCAAAAAGCATCATTTTAGATCCTCGTCATAAAGATCTCCAGGCTGAACCAATGTTGCAACGGACCGCGATTAGAGAACTGATTGAACTAGAAGCAACATCTCTTATTCCAACAGGATCCGAATCGTCACAAAGCTTGTCAAATAGCGTACTAGACTATCTTTTTAAAAAGCCCGAAAACACGCATTTAACTTCGGCAGCTCAGCAGATCCAACTGTATCTTTGTGAGCCACAAATTGATATTAATATGGATCCCCTTCAATGGTGGAAATCACATGAAAAGAAATTTCCACAGTTGGCTCTGTTGGCGAAGAAATATTTATGTATTCCCGCGACATCCGTTGCGTCAGAGCGAATTTTTTCAACTGCGGGCAATATCGTTTCGCCACAACGGAGCTGCATGGCTGAGAATGTTTCGACAAATGTTTTTATTTTTCAAAACAAATTTTTATTAGAGTAATAAAGCCATGTACTTTTATTTTTTTGACAAAAAATATTTAGTTTTATTTAGTTTTATTTAGTTTTTATTTTAGTTTTTTTTTAATTTTATATTTAGTTTAAAAATAATTTTGTTAACGAATTGTTAATTGTCTTAACAATTTTTATATAGATTAAAAACAAAATGTGTTGGACACTTAATTGATAAATTTTCGAAAATATTTCGAAAAACACGCAATTAAAGTTTCAGTGAATCTCTGACGCAATAAAATATTGTAACTTGGTAAATGTTTCAAATTGTAACAAACGTTTTATTTTAAAAATATTATAAAATGTTTAACCTTTAAGAAAATTGATTTTTTGAAAGTTTAAAAGTGATCTCCACTCTTAAAAACTATACATTAGCCAACGCGCGCTATTCTCGCTATATATATGTACACATACAAATTTTGCGATAAACAAATATAAATAACTCTCTCTTTCAACATCTATTCTTGATAAATATATATTTTTTTAAATAAGATAGATATATAAATACCAATTGCAATATTAATCTTTTAAGTGATAGATATATTTCAAACAACTATAACATATTGAGGACAAATATCGCAGTATGCGTTATTTGATAATTTCAGAACGAGAAATATTTCCGAAAACTCGTTTCATGTTTCAATAAGAACGGCTTAATTTTTTATTTAAAACTTTTCTATTTTAAATATGTAATAATTCATGTTATAATATTTCAAGATTGTATCTTAAGAATAATTACACATTTTTTTAGTATATATATTGACTAATTCTT